AGGTGAAGTGACAGGATAACTAATCAGAATAAGCTGAAACAACCAATCATACACCACATACACACAAGGTCGTCAAAACCAGTTACTAAGCTATAACTCATAACTAATTTCATCTTTCTGAAGTTTTGTGCTGATGATGATGTTGTCTAGGATGACAATAAACAATTCAGCTAATATCGAGATCCACACTACTTGGGTGTGATCCTCTTCACAACAAGATTTGATGTTTAGAGACGGTTAGGAATATGATTCAGAATCGTTCATTATAACTATAGATGTGTACACTATTTGTCATTTTCGAAGTCTTGAATATGTCTAATGTATGAACCTTTATCTAGCTATTCTCTTCTCTAGTACACTTTTATAATCTTTTGTATCAGTTTCTTTCACATCAATTCTTTGGATACTCTTATGAAGTGTGACATTTTGATTCGATTCACTTGAAGGGCCTGGTTCTACATTGGTTTGTCTTTCTACTAATCACTGTATCAACTGGCTAAGAAGAAAGTTCCGCTGCCATTAAATCATAAAATATATATCTATATCATGTTAATGATGTATCGTGGCTAGCAGTGGAATCCAGGATGTGCATTTCTTCCTGTTTGCGACTAACCGGTCAGTTAGATGTACCCACCTCCCAGCGAGTGATGTTGTTCCCACCGGGATTCGGATACGGGAGCGACCGCGCTGGCGTTTGAAATGATCGCTCCCGGGTCCAAGTCCCGGTGGGAACAACATCACTCACTGGGAAGCAGGTACATCCAGCTGACGAGTCATAAATAGGATGAAATGCGTATCTTAGGTTTTTCGGCTAGCCACGATCCATCAATTAACATATTTAAAACACCGACAATATCCAGGCATCCGCATAGGAGCCCATATGCCAATAGAAAGTGATCAATTCGGTCCAATCAACGACGGCGTCATATAAAAACAGTTATACATATGTATATCCTTCTTCCACACGAAGAAACGATAATCATGTGTTTAATAGTTACCCAGTTGAAGATTTCATTTCAATTAACCATCTATCGAAATGGCTTATTTATACGACATGGTTGTATATTGTTTACCGATATCATAAATACTGAGTATATTCTTAACATTTTCCATCACTCAGTTTTATTGCTATGGATTGTAGAAAAATCAAAGTTTGAAGTATGACAAGATTGGGTGGAATATACTGGACTAATTGATGAGCCATGTTACACATTATAATGTCTATATCATGTAACAGAACCTACATCTTTATGTACCTTAATGAATGGGGGGAAAAATGTGGTACAATATGATTCCTTAACCTTATCAGCTAATAATCATATTCTCATGTTAGAGGAATACATGTAGCGTCACACACTTCTCCAGAATCAATCATCGATCAATCAACATTGATGGTGACCTTGATAGTTTAACTAGATTCATTCAGCTGAAGGCACCCAGTCAAGCATCCATACCATTTGGCACGCTGTGGTGTTATGTCACACTGCTGGTAATCGATCCTCTAGTCAGTTAGTTGGAAAGCATCGGTATCTTGGTACAACTATTCCATTCAACTAAGCTATTGTGTTCTTTCTTGGTCTTATATTCGTGTGGGTATATAATAAGTCCGAATAATTATTGACTAGCCTCTGTGTCTGTCAAGTTAGCAGCAGGACAATTTTTAAATTGGTTAGCCAGACGTGATAACAAATCTTAAATTAGCCAGTCCAATTAAATTATCAAGGTCAGTATCAATGTTCAATCTCGTCGAACACTAGGCTATTAATTCATGAGAAGTATGTGATGCTACAGATCACTCCCCCCCCCCTCCTTAATAGGACCATCGATACCGGTTAGAATATTTATCTGAGATTAGAATGAAGTATGCTTCATTGTTATACTACTTTTATCACGTTTCATCATCACTATCCTGTTGATGATAACATACATGGTAATCACAATAAGAATACTGTATACATATTTGTAATCATAAGAAATTCAATACATTCTAGGTCATTTTATAAAGGTAAACAATTAGTTAGTTTTTAGTATTTATTGAACTATACAAGTATGCAATAGTTCTGTGATATTCACTGATCTAATCAATAATTATACACAACAACTGTACTTGGATTAAATTAGTCATCTGGCATATTCTCTACAAAGATGAATGCTAAGTTAGTTGTTCAATAGCTTGGTTACATTATTTATATTATTATTTGTCCCTTGGGTTCCTAGTGGAACATACGGCTTCAGCGGCACGTCTCCAGTGCACTCTGTTCTCTACAAACTTTTCAACCTAGCTCCACGACAGCCCACAAGCTCTCATTTCTTCCTCACACCATCTCCTCAATGTCACCCTCAACTGGGACGCCCAACTCGTCGTTTCCCATCTGGGTTCCACTCGAGTGCCTGGACTGGCGTGGTGCGTGATGTCCCCAGTCGGCCAATCCATCTCCACTTCCTTCCACAGCATATTTATTCAGCGGTAGCTTATTGGTTGTCTCATTTCCAGAGTCAGTTCCTTGTTGCTTATTCTTTCTGACCATCTGATCTTCAGTAACCAGCGTAAGCAGTTGTTGATGAATGTCTGCAGCTTGTTCGGAATCCCTTTATAACGCGCCAAGTTGCTGAGCAATACAGAAGCACTGACTTGGCTGACGTTGGTGTTTAAAATTCGGATGTTATTCACGCTTTATGCTGAGTGCAGTGCAGAAGATCTCCACACTGGTTTCAGATTAATGAACGCCTGTCTTGCTTCCCGATCGTGGCTGGCTTTAATGTCCTCGTCTGTGCCTCCGCCTGTACTTGAAACAGTACTGCCTAGATAGGTGAAATAGACAACTTCCTTTAAGTTTCTCTTGTTGATAGGTGATTGGTTATAATCAGCCTAAAATTGGTTGTAATCCCAAATTTTCTGTAACTATAGTCTACTAACCAATTGCAGAGTAGATTGTGAAACCAATTGAAATGAATAACTACTGTTCACCCTTAGATCCCTGATAGTTTAATCAGCTGTGGAAATCAAATGATAACCACCGACCTGTAGTAAAGTTTTTATATGTGGATGATACATTTAGTGTGTTAAAATCGTAATAGTTAATCCTACATAGAGTGAGATGCCATATCGGCATTGTCGATGCCAGGCAAGTCGATTGAGTTGGTATCAGTGAAGCGACAGTATTATCATTTACTGGATTATATATCGGATATAATTTCTGCTGTCCACAGACATAGCAAGATAAATACACAACTCGCCTCCTTTGTGATATAAGCAGTAGGATTCTCCACATATCCGGAAGGGGTACTGAGTTATTCTTGTTGCCGGATGTATTTGGTGTGTTGTTGATTCGATAAACACAGATTTCGCAGTTATCAGTCTCTTCTTCCATACTGCTATGTTAGTTTTAAAGATTTTCTCTCCGTTTCTCTAGATTCCTCATCTACTAAGTAGGAACTACCATCCATTTTGACTCAGTTAGGTTTCTATGGCCAGTTAGTCTGATTGACTCTAGTCGACTATTTTGACTAACTTATGTATTTGACCTAGCAATAGTTGCAAGGGATTTAGTAAACTAGATTGTTCTGCCTTGTTGGACCAGTAAAATCTTTCACTCCACAAAACTTATTTCTAAGTGGATTTGTGGTTTGAAATCCTACTATAATCCCAGCCAGCCAGCCAGCCTTATTGAGAATACTGTGTAATGTCTCTAAGGTCCCTTTCTTGTGTGGTAATACTGTAGGTGTACTGGATTCTCACTTCACAGTATTGTCACTATTATTATAAACTTGCGTTACTTTTATTTTTCTGACGATATCTAAATGAATTTATCAATTGATCTAGGTGGATAATTGTTGATGAGGAAGGTGTCCTTAATGTATCTAATTTCTTGTCTTAGATCTTCTGTTACTCAGACACTTCACTAAACCAACTTTAAATGATATAGGGTGAGACGATTCGAATGTGAAGTTTTTCGATAAACACTAGTCTCCAAGCTCTCATCTTTTTATCGTTGTATTCTGCAATCCAGCATCACTGGTTGTCCTTCAACCATTTTATAAATCACCAACAAGTTGAAAGACACTGACTAGTGAATTTATATGTGTTCAGAAACTATGTATATGCTCTGATTTCAACACTGTAAACGTGTCATCTACATATCGAAGTGATAATTTTAGGAGAGGATTAAGTGTTTCAGCAGCTATCTATTCCCAACTATCTATATATATATGTCAGTCATGATAGGAGATATTGGTGATTCCAGTTACGTTGTCTGCTCAGTCGTTCAGTCATACGCCATACAGACTTCATAGTCAGTAACCTTCTCATATCTTCTAGTTTTGTGATAGAAATAAATCTAGAATCTTGACGTTTTATGGGATTCCATAGAAGAATTAAACGGCCAAAAGTAATGTGTACAGATTCAGATTTATTGTTCAAGGATAGGAGCCTATATGAATCGTTTTCCAGTAAGTCTTTGTGCTTGTCCGATCCCTTTTTGAATGAGTCAATTGATGATGTGGACACCACTTATGCTGGGAGTCAATTTCAGGCGTTGATTACTCGACGTGAGAACCAGTACTCTGCTGAGACTACGTCCGTTCTTTACTTTTGTAGCCTCCTATTATTTCCTATGAGGTGTTCCGACCTAGTGGGAAGGAAAAGAGAAGACAGATCAGGTCCGAAGTCATTTCTTAGAATCTTGTGTGGTATGATTAGGTCTCCCCTTTGTCTGAGGTAGGACAAAGTGAAAAAGTTCAGCTTCTTAAGTCGGTCTTCATACGTGAGGCCAGCCATCGCAGGGATCATACAAGTGGCTACCATCTGAACTCTTTCTAGAAAGTCTGCGTCACTGTATGAAAACTGTAGGGGAACCATTTTACCAATAGGCTCCTCTACATAGATGATGTAACTATTCATTACCGACTAGTTGGACTCCCTTTTAGTATACACTTTGTTCTGGTAAATCTTTTTTATAATTCTACAAGTCGATATGATATTATTTATTTCTCTATTATAGGTATTCAAAAAGACATTCATGGATATGTTAATAAATCGACGGATATAATGTGCGAAAATAAACACAATGAACTTCATACAACATAAAAGCATTTGATTTGTTTATATATATATTTCTATGCGTTAAAATTATTACAGAAAAAAAAATGAACATTGAACATTTCCGCCAAATTGAAGTATACATTTCATGACCAATTAGAATTAAAGATTGAAGATTTTTACTTGTTTCAAGATGATATCCATCTAAGGATTGACAACAGTTGGTGAAGGATAGAAAATCTGGAAGCATATGACAGCTGTTTCGTCCTAGAATGGGCTTCATCAGTAGTACATACTCACTTAAAGTCAAATCCAGGAAGTTCAGGTTTCACAGTTACCTATTTGTGTTGAATTTAGTATATAGCATGAGTAATCACCAAAGATCTTCAATTGGCATCCGTTTGATCCCACAATTTTGTCTCGAAGTATGTCATTCATGAGAACTAGGCAGTAAAGTAGTTTGAAGTTTATATAGATTTTTATTTATATCAAGGTAGTATTAGTTGAAAATCGAAAGGATGGTGAACAGAAAGGTTATCTTGAAGCTAAAATACACACTGATGATTACTTTCAGCAGGGATGAACTCATGAACTACATAACTAATCTCTCTGAAATGATGGAAAAAATTTGTAGCTCAGGATGACGATGATAATGTAGTCTAAACATCGACATTTTGTCGTGGACATTTTGTCAACAGACTTCATGATATCTTCAGCAATAACTTTATAAAGGAGATTACCTTATAAGTAAGTTTTATAGCATGACATACATAAACAGAAATCGACATTCCTCTTCAGCAGTTAACCGCCAAAGTAGGGAGTTTTGTGACTGAAGGAAAGGTACTGAGATAGAACAGTCGCTATTCATCTCAAATTCCAAGTGTCTAATTAAGTTGGTATCATTTCGCGTATTTCTTATCCACTTCGTCATTTTGATGTATTTATTTATTTGTCCCTTGGGTTCCTAATGGAGCATACGGCTTCAGTAGCACGTCTCCAATGCGCTCTGTTCTGTGAAATCTTTGTAACCTGGCTCCACGACAGCCCACAAGCTCTCATTTCTACCTCGCACGATCTCCTCCATGTCACCCTCGCCTCCGACGCCCAACTCGTCGCTCCCCATCGGGGTTTCACTCGAAGGCCTGACGCGTGATGTCTCCAGTCGGCCTTCTCAGTGTATGCCCAATCCATTTTGATGTAGTCCTACGTAAACCTACCGCAATCTCAGCAAACACGTGTAGTTAGGTTATGATTCATATTTCTTGGATGATGAGTAAGAATAACCACCTAGTTAACCAAACGTTGATAATTCGGGTCGAGAAAACGTATCCCAGTCCATTTTGCAAACAGATTAAAACGATGGATGATGATCTTACCGGGGTAACACTTTAACATCAATTATCGCCGAAGAGAAGATTCCAACTAAGAGAATTATCTCTCACGCGTAATCAACGACTACTCCTTTTCGAACGAAGAAACGATTATTGCGGATGTGAAGACAGAAAACTATATTGAGAATTTATCACCATTCGCCATCCAGCAGCTGCCCATCGCGGCAGAACAAACAAGACACAAAAGCGATAACACTTTACAAAAAGTTATGAGGTTCATCCAAAACTCTTGACCAGCACCAGTTTAAAGTCATGACCTGAGAAAATTGTTGCACCGCCGCCACAGTGACACCATTGTTAATGAGTCCCTAATGTTCAGAGAACAAATGGTTATATCAGTCACCTTATGAAAGACCACCTTGAAACAGAGGGCACCCAGATACTGTCCGCATGAAGTCTATTGCCGGAAGTTATGCATAACAGAATTCGTCAACCTATGCCACCCATATCAAGCAGAGGCCGAGAATTCGCCCCGAGAGCAACCGAAAGTCTGACCCCCATCACAACCTTGGTTACGACCATACATACAATGCACTAGGCCGGTAGATCGTGTGTATTACTGAATTTTTATAGACGCCTATTCAAAGTAGCCCCAATTACCCCATCATGATTATCGAACAGGGAAAATAAAAAATGAGCAGAAGGTAAATGTGGAACTCTGATGTATGAGGTTAAAGTTGGGCATGGCAGATGGATGAGACGCAAAAATCAGATATGACGCCACCATGTCAAATATTCTGGACCCGAGATACCCTTAAAACTACCACTTTAAACTTTCAAACTACACCCAGTCGAGGCAGGATTAACCCGAGAGAAGCCGGAAGTCAAAAAGGAGTTATAATCCACGCGACGACCCGACTGTAAAAGATCTCGAACGGTCCGGTTGTATACTGACCCGAAGAGATGGAGATACTAAATTTTGTTGGTGTACGTGTTCATTCATTTTGAGGGAGGCGTGCTATATACCCGTAAACCTGTAGTTGAAACGATGTTTCCTAGATAGGTGGAAGAGGCTACTTCCTTTAAGTTTCTCTCGTTGATGGTGATTGGAGCTTGTTGTTGTTGGTGGCCTTGCTTGGGTATCATCATCACCTCTAAAATAAAACATGATTAGTACAAATGTATCAGCCCAAACAAGCTAGTTGCTGACGAAGTCTGAGCTTAGATTCAGGAGGCTCGTTTGGTGTCTACCAACTTATTACACCTGTGGCGTCGGCGAAATATCCGGCTATCTATCAAATGACGATGTCTTCGTAACATTGGCGGTGTGTGTGGTGGAATCTTCGTGTGACCAATGTTAACGTCAGGCGAAAGGTACTAGGCAATCCAACTGAGAAGGTTGTGAAGCTTAGTCGAATGAAATATCTCGAACATACACTGCCCATACCAAGCCACCATCTACCTCGACATGCTATGCTTGGGGAAGCTGGATTAGGTTGAAAAAGCCAAACCATGTAAAGTGTCACAGACGACAGGAAACAGTGGACGCGGACTCTTCGTGACTTGGCTAAAAATATTGATCACAATGGAGCAAATGTGTTTAACTCCTTGACATTTTCTAAAGCATGAATAGTCACACTAACGTTAATCTTCAGATTACTTATGTACTTTCACATCACTCCTTTTCTATTCACCTATTCCTTATGTATAACTGTGAAGTGTAGCAAGTTATCCCGATGGATTACTGGGAGAATTTTTGCGTTGAGAAATGAAAAGATAATTCAGTGAAGAAAAGTTCTCTTTTCACGACAAAATCCTTCTTCTAAAGCTCTACAATCTTAATTATATACATATTATACACATATAACAGTCTATTGTTAGATAATTGTATCATATGGCCGACTAGTGCTAAAAGAAACAGAAATCAAGAATGGAGAGGAGTTACGTAATAATCTTTTAAACAGTGGAAATAATGAGGAAGGCAAGAAGTTTGACAAAGGTGAGAACTGGTGTTGGTAGATGAGAAATGCAAAGTAATTGACTGTCCACTTGATAGATAGATGTGTAGAAGGTGAACAATGAGATATGGGTCACAATGTAGGTGATAATAATAAACTAACTCATTATAATAAAATTAAAACAAGATTGGGAAAGTGTTAAGACTTTGTATGATAAGATAGATTCAACATACTTCTTCTGAACGCACACATCAGGTTAGAATTGATAAATTACCAGTGCTTCTATTATGGTGCACAACAGTCGAAGACATACTCCTTTTGAATTATTCTATTTGACTCTAAAAATGACACTGAAGGGGAGAACTCTGGTCGAGTTATATGTTTTGAGTTGACCAAATGTTCAAGAATTGAACTGCTAATTGATTTATATCCTCCCCTCGACATTCATGCAGAATAGCGCTTAAAGATACGTTTGAAAAGTGCGCGCTGTGTGGCCTATATAACTAGCTTCAAAGGAGCAAGTAAATTTATAGACAAACATTGAGGTGGCCCAAGGAGGCAACTTGTCTTTAACACACTCCAAAACCAGTTACTGATTAGAGAAGCTGATTTGTAGCTCTACAGAGAAAAATGTCTTTTTCAGCGATTGTTTAGAATCTCTGCTGTTGTATCGTCTTCTTTGGAACTGTGAGTAATTACTCCGAAATCTGTTTTAGTTTCGTTTTCAATAAATCTAACTTAGTATCCATCACCATCAACAAGAGAAACTTAAAGGAAATAGCCTCTTCCACCTATCTAGGAGACATCGTTTCAACTACAGGTGGTACAGGCACAGACGAGGACGTCAAAGCCAACCAGCCACGATCGGAAAAGCAAGACAGGCGTTCATTAATCTGAAACCAGTGTGGAGATCTTCTGCACTGCACTCAGCATAAAGCGTGAACAACATCCAGATTTTCAAGACTAATTAATGCCAGTCAAGTCAGTGCTTGCTTCTATGTGATGGTTGAGAGACTTGATGTGTTATGAAAGGCATTTCCAACAAACTACAGATATTCATCAACAACTGCCACCTACACTCACTCCTTACTGCAGCTCAGATGACCAGAAATAATAGGCAACAAGGAACTCTAGCTGACTGCCAACGAACCAACCAATAAGCTGTCGCTAAACAAATATGCTGTGGAAGGAAGTGGAGATGGATTGGGCATGCACTGAGAAGACCATTCGGGGACGTCACACACCAGGCGAGGTCGTGGAGTGGAATCCAGATGGGAAGCGACGAGTTGGACGTCCTAGGTGAGGGTGACATTGAGGAGATGGTGTGAGGAAGAAATGAGAGTTTGTGGGCTGTTGTGGAGGCAGGTTGAAAAGGTTGGAGAGGACAGAGTGTAATGTAGAGGTGCTACTGAAGCCGTATGTTCCACTAGGAACCCAAGGGACAAATAATAATAATAATCCATTTTATATAATAACCTTCCATAGTTTATCTAATTCATCATCGATAGTATCACTCATGCAGATTATTTTGATTCCTGAAGATAAAGAATAGATCGGATTCCTTTTTCTGCTAATAGAGGCATCCAGCTATGCAAATTTAAGTATTGATCATTTCATGTCGGCGAACCATTTGATCTCCATCTCAATAAGACATCGAGAAAATGGACTTCTTAGTTCTACATTGATTTCGTCAGACAATCAAGTGAAAATATGAATCAACCAATAAACAGGCTGTGTAAGCCAGTGATCTGTATTGGTAAATAAACACGATGCTGGTGAATCAGGTTGTAGGATAATAAGGATAGCGGCTGAGATTCAGGCCATTGACGCTCACACACACATTACTCATACTCACAAAAATCATAATACCACAGATAAAATTTATATTTATCCAACTTTACACACTACACACTTTAAGAAAATAAATAAAACAAGGCAAAATAAAACAACCAGAAAGTTAATCATTCAGATGAATGTTCAAGTCTTGACAGAATGCAATTTGGGTTGCGTCATTTCCCCCCCCTGCCCCCCCCCCGACACACACAACCATTATATTTATAAAGTCGAGATCATCAGTCTTGACATGATTCACATGAGTACCACTAAATAAAATTTCAAAGCGATAACATGAACAAATAACACTGGAGATAAGCGTGTTTCATTGCATCATTACACTCATAGTGTAAGTGGAGAAGAGAAGAGAAAAAGGCGAAAATAGATAACCGTAACATGCACACACACACACACACACAGAGGCCAAGAAAGAAATTATAAATTAAAATGTACCGAAATATCGTTGACCAAAGTGGCTAGGTACAATTGAATGAATTTCCGAGGTAACAACTCTTAACGCCGGATTACGCGTTAACACATTCACAAGACCTGTAGAGCAAAAAAAAAGCAATTGATGATGATCAAGAGGAAAGATAAGTAATTTGTTCAAGGTAATCATAATAATGATAATCACATGATACGGTTAGAATACAGTTTGAGAAGCATATGCTGGTTGAATAGAATGAAGGATTTGTCTGTCTTGTCATGCATGACATGATCACAGTTATGTATTCTTGTAGGAATTATGCTAACCGGGAAAATATTTCATTTGCTATTATTCAACTACTCACAAGTAGTTTAAAATGTTAAGCAAAATTAATCGGGGGACAGGATAGTAATTGACAGAATATGAGGGAGATAAATGAATCGATTCCAGAATAAAGTGTAGCTTTGATCAGTCACATACTCCCTATAATCATCATGACTAGGGGAAATAAATGTTTGAGTTGAAACCCTCCTTCATACATTTGCTCTACTTATGATGACATCTAAAATTTTACCGAATCAACGCGAAATACAGAACTGGTAATTCATTTTAAATTCTAAAATTTTCATTCTACTTTGAATTTTTTTATTTGAACCATACCACACAGTGATACAGTATAATTTACTTGATGGCAATTCAAGTATAAATCAAAAAAATACGTAAAATAGGTTATGTCTTTTGTTAAAAACCAACACACACACACAGACGCACTGGAGTGCAGATACATCCAGTTGACGCGTGTCCTGGATCTTTCTGATAGCTACATCCTGAAGGCCTGTGAATATTATTATTTGTCATTCACGTTCCTAGTAGAATATACCGCTTCAGAAGCACGTAGCTATTTCACTCTCTTCTCTGCAGTCTTCTTCTTCTTTAACCTGGCTCCACAACTGCCCATAAGCTCTCATTTCTTCCTCATACTATCTCTTCCATGTCAACGGCGGAGGTCCAACTCGTCGTTTCCCAATTCGGTTCCGCTCAACGGCCTGGCTTGGCGCGTAACGTCCCAAAACCGTCCAATCCAACCCATTTCCACTTTCTTCTGCATATCTTTTGGGCGATAGGTTGTTGGTTGGTTGAATCGTTGCCAGAGTGAGTTCGTTCTTGCTTATTCTTATTATTCTGACCTTCTGATCTGGTCTTCAGTATCGAATGAGCGTAGGCGGCAACTGTTTATGTATGTCTGCACTTTGTTCGAAATGTTTTTCGTAACGCCCAAAGTCTGTCAATCATCACATAGAAGCACTGAAGTGACTAGCTTAGTGTTCAAAACCCGGATCTTGATCTTCATGTCGGCAGGATTACAGTAGACCTCCACACTGATTTCAGCCTAATGCTGTCTTTCCAATCCTGGCTGGCTTCGACATTCTCATGTGTGCCTGTGCCACCTGTAGTTGAGACGATGCTGTCTAGGTAGGTGAAAGATACTACCTCCTTTAGGTTTCTCCCGTTGATGACGATTGATGCTTGTTGTTGTTGTTGGTTCGATATCTCCATCACCTGTCTTTTCCACGTTCATCGAAAGGAAGTCCCATTCTCGCTGCCATGCCTCACCTCTTCTGCCAACTTGTTAGTTTTCGCCTGTAGATCTTCGAGTTTGTACGACACTAGACATTAAACATAAATCATCATTGGCGACATTTAAATCTTCTAGGATCTTTGTCTTTTCATCGGTAAAACAGCGTATGCATATCTCACTACTCAAGGAAACGTTGACGTTCATATAGGTGAAAAAAACTTTAGTATTGTAGTAGAATTTTATTTCATATTAGATTTATTTTCTATTATTTATAACACACAGTGATATAATATTATCTACTTGATAATGATTCGAGCAGAATTCGCTACTGCTCATTATCATATCTAAATGTAACCAACACTACTTTCGATAATATAAGTGAAAAGCTTGGGCACTGTGGTTGAATGTAATTCCATATTAGATTTGTTTATTTGATATAAAGCGCACAGTGATACAGTATTATTTACTTGATTACGTTTCGAGCATAAATTATTACTGCTCATAATCATATCAATGTAATCACACACATCTTTCGATATCTGATTTTATAGTCCTGTCACCTGATCTCTCTTTGTCTTTTTTGATTGGTAGTAAAGTTTTCCATATCTCTGGTATAGGTGTTGCGTCATTCCTATTACATGTGTTGGGTGTGGATTCGATGAACAGAGATTCAGTAATTAATCTCTCTCTCCACCTAGCTATATTAGACTTAAGTACAGTGGTTTTGTCCCACCCTATTGTGTGGTTGTGTGTTAATGAATGTAATGCAATGGCTGAGTGTTTTTCTAGGTTATTGATCTTATTGGGGTCTGCCGTTCTATGTTTAGCTAAATTCCTATGTTCTGTTAATCTAACTGACCCCGACCGGCTAGTTTGACCTATGTATTTGACTTCACAGTCATTACATGGAATTTGGTAGATTATATTATTTTGCTTAATTGGTTCTATCGGATCCTTTAGCCGACAAAGCTTACCTCTAAGTGAGTTTGTTGGTTTAAATGCCACCCTAATTCCAACCTTGTTGAGAATCCTACGTATGGTTTCTGATGTTCCTTCCTTGTATGGTATCACAATAGAGGTGTTGATTTCCTTTCTACTTATGTTGTCACTATTATTTGTATTTGTATTAGTGTTATTATTTTGCTTCTTATGTGTCCGTGTGAATTTCTTAATAAAATGATGGGGATAATTATTAACGCTTCTTTTATGTGTTTCAATTCCTTATTTAAGTCCTTACAATGACTAGTGAGTTTCTCAGCTCTGTTATTTAGACATTTGACTAAACCCGCTTTAACTGACACTGGATGAGATGACTTGAAGTCTAGATATCTGTTAGAATGTGTTGGTTTTCTGTAGACGGTAGTATCTAAACCACCATCTATCCTTCGTTTTATTCTGCAATCCAACATAGGTAATTCTCCTTGTTCATTTTCTATCTTCGTAAGTGAATTGGATTGCGTTAACTACTGAGTTTATGTGTGTCAAGAAACTGTCGATATGTTCCGATTTCAACACTGTAAATGTGTCATCTACATATCGCCACCATATCTTAGGTGTCGGATTATATGTTCGTAAAGCCATATCTTCCCAACTATCCATAAATATATCTGCTACTATAGGGGATATTGGTGATCCCATTGCTACTCCTTCTGTTTGTCTATATATCTTTCCCTGAAACTTGAAGACTGTCGAGGTTAAGCATAACTACACTCCTAACATGATTTCATCAACCGGTGCTTTGGTTGTTTGAGTAAGTTGTGAGTCAGTATCAGTATCAGTATCTACTTTCAATATTTCATTTACTCTTGTCACCACTTATTCTTTATTTTTATTGGTAGTAAAATTTTTCATACCTCTAGTATACAAAGGTGTTGAGTCATTTCTATTACATATGTTGGCTAGATGTTGATTCAATAATCAATCGCTCTCTGTCTTTCTCCACCTAATCATATTGGACTTGAGTGCAGTGGTTGCATCTCAACTCATCCTACTGTATGGTTGTGTGTGCGTGCTCATTCATTGCAATAGTCAACATTTCTACTAGATTATTTACCTTATTAAGGTCTGTTATTTTACATTTAACTAAATTCCAATATTCACCTATTCTAATTGACCCTGACCGACTAGTGTGACCTATACATTTGACTTTATAGTCATTACAAGCAATTTGATCGATTAGATTATTTTGCTGAATTGGTTGATCTCTGAGTGAACTTGTAGGTGTAAATCACACCCTAATTCATGGCTTCATCGGGATTCTACACAAAGTTTCTGATGTACCTTCTTCATAGAGAAACACAACAGAGGCTGTGAACTTCTTTCAACTCATGTGGTCGTTATTATTTCGTTTCTTATGTGTTCTTACAGATTTCTTAGTAAACTGTAGGGGATAGCTATTAACTATTAGTGCTTCTTTCATGTGCTTCACTTCCTTGTCTATGTCGTTGCACTGACTAGTCATTTTTTTAGCTCTATCATTTAGACATTTGACTAAACCTGTCTTCAATGACTGACATTGGATGAGATGACTTGAAGTCGAGATACCTGTTGGAATGTGTCGGTTTCCTGTAGAACATAGTGTCCAAACCATCATCTGTGGACAGGGGGATTGCTTACTGAATGTTTGTTCATCGAATCAACACTTAGTCAAGACGTGTAATAGAGATGACGCAACACCTTTCTATACCAGAAATATTCTCTGCTTCTATTGGTAGCAAAATTTTCCATATCTCTGGTATGGAAAGATGTTGCGTCATTTCCATTACATGTGTTGGTTGAATGTTGATTCGATGAACAAAGACTCAGTAAGTAATCTATCCCTCTCTCTCTCTCTCTCTCCACCTAATTATATTGGACTTAAGTACAGTGGTTTCATCCCATCCATCCTACTGTGTGGTGGTGTATGAGTGCGCATTTATTGCAATAGCCAACATTCCTTCTAGATTATTGATCTTATTCGGGTATGTCACTTTACATTTGGCTAAATTATTATGTTCGGCTTTTCTAAATGACCCCGATTGCCTAGTTTGATCTATTTACTTGACCTGACCTATTATTACTATTATTATTATTATTATTATTATTATTATTATTATTATCATTAGTCCCTTGGGTTCCCAGTGGAACATAGGGCTTCAGCAACACGTCTCCAGTGACCTCTGTTCTCTGAAATCTTTTGAACCTGGTTCCACGACAGCCCAGAAGCTCTTATTTCCTCCTCGCATGACCTCCTCCATGTCACCCTCGGACGTCCAACTCGTCGCTTCCCATATGGGTTCCACTCGAGCAACTGGCCTGACGCGTGATGTCCTCAGTCGGCCTTCTCAGTGCATGCCCGATCCATCTCCACTTCCTCCTGCATATTTGTTGCGTGATAGGTTCTTGGTTGGTTCGTTCCCAGAGTTCCTTGTTGCTTATTCTTTCTGGCAGTTCATCTGATCTCCAGTAGCGAGTGTAAGCAGTTGTTGATGAATGTCTGTAGTTTATTGGAAATCCCTTTCGTAACACACCAAGTCTCTGAGCCATACAGAAGCACTGACTTGACGTTGGTGTTGAAAATGCGGATCTTGTTCCACATGCTGAGTGCAGTGCAGAAGATCTCCACACTGGTTTCAGGCTAATGAACACCTGTCTTGCTTTTCCGATTCTGACTTTGACGTCCTCGTCTGTGCCTGTGCTGCCTGTAGTTGAAACAGTGCTTCCTAGATAAGTGAAGGAGGTTACTTCCTTCAAGTTTCTCCCGTTGACGGTGATTGGAGTTTGTTGTTGTTGTTGATGGTGGTGGTGCGGTATCTTCATCACTTCTGTCTTCTCTATATTCACCTGAAGTCCCGTCTTAGCTGCCTCTTCTATCAACTTGTTAGTTTTTGCTTGCAGATCTTCAGGTGTATGTGACATTAGGCATAAGTCATCGGCGAAATCCAAGTCTTCTAGGTTCTTTTCCGTCGTCCAGTGTATCCCCCTCTTCTCGCTGCCTACTGTTTGCTGCATGATCCAGTCCACCACAATAAGGAATATCATGGGGGATAGTAGGCAACCTTGCTTCACTCCTGTCTTCACTTCAAAGGCATCACTGAGCTTCCCATTGTGGATTACTTGGCATGTGGCATCTTCATATAGTTGTTGAATGAGGCGGATAAAGGTTTGTGGTATTCCGTAGTATTGAAGCAGTTTCCTGACCTGACCTATAGTCATTATATACAATTTGATCGATTAGATTATTTTACTGAATTGGTTCTATCGAACACTTAAACTAACCGACAAAGTTGATCTCCAAATGAACTTGTAGATGTAAATTACACCCTAATTCATGGCTTCATCGGATTCTATACAAAGTTTCTGATGTACCTTCTTCATAGGATAACACAATAAACAAATCGAATATGAAATGTGAACGATTTAAGATGAAGTATAGAACCATTAACAGCTTTTCAGTTATAAAAAGTACATTTAGATTAACTGAACTCTTTCGCTCTTCAGGAAGTACAGTGAAAGAAAATGAGTTATTAACTAAGTGAGAAAAGTATAACATAAAAAAAAAAAAGAAAATAAGAACTTACTTTTTGGTGAGGCAAATAAAGTTAATAGAATCACATTCTCTACGGATACATTATACGTTCTTAAAACATCTAACGCCTTTAATACTGTTGTTCCGGTAGCTATAAAACAATGGAATAGATAACAAATAAGAAGATACCAATTAAATGATAAGTGTTGAGGAACTTCATCAATAACTTATTAGGTATCCGTAGATGAAGAAGAAAATACATATAACATTTTCATAGGGCGATTAAATTGATATATTCGTCTACGTATCTGAGAAAAAGTGTACTGTAAGATAACAGAGAATATTTATAGCTCAGGAAGATGATTTTCATTGTTTTGTCTTCTCTGAACTAAATTGTTTACTTGTAACAACAAAATCTTCAGAAGTGGACAATACAATTTAGAGAACACAACACAATAAGTTTATTCTACAACAATATGGGTGCTCAAAGCTAAAAAAAAACATTTTTGGTCATAGATCTCTTCATTAGGCTGCTTAAATTCAACAGAACCTCAAAATTAGGGGAAGATGAACCAGTCTACAAAATTCTCAAGTCGGTATCTACTCCATAGCATCATATGATGTTAGCTAAAATGTTGGTTGCTTCTCTAATTGTTAGGGTTCGAACTAGCAACTTACAAGTTGTTGACCACTTCAATTACCTAGAAAGTAGGATCAGCCCTGGTGGCTCAGTGGCTGATGAAATCTCTACACGGATCAATCAATCAATATCGACATAGGACTAGGTATTACTGCGTAACGGTCCGAGTTGTCACAGCTAAGTACAGTACACCATGTAGAAAGGTAGTGAGGTGAAGGATGACGATAAGAGAATGCAGTTAAAAGAAATAAACGAAGAATGAGGAAGTGGTGATATTCGGTATAGCGTCGTCAAGATGAGGATAACGTATGCATACATCTGAGCCATATCACCTAGAGTCTCCAACCACTGGTTCCTCTTTTCCCGTGGACCCCAACCGGCTAGTCTGCATCGCCCTACATGGCTCAAACCAACAGACTCGCATGGCCGCCTTCCGCCAACTTACGCCACCTATGGCACCGCCGTGATATTCGATTGTCTGTTAAGAGTCGCGTGTACTCCATAGCAGTCCGCTGTTATACTGTATGGCTGTGAAACATGGCTATTGAAGGTGGAAGACATGAGAAGGCTGGCTTCAGGTGTTCAATTACCGTCGCCTTCGTAGTATAGGCCATATTTCGTGGTATCACCATGGGAGTAACGCAAAAGTCAGGCGTGGAGTTTTAAGGAGAACCTTCATCGATAAAGATGGTTGGCTGAGACATGAGTTACGTATGCCTAGTTGCCATCTGCCTCGTCACGCAATGCTGGCTGAAGTAGGTTCAGGCTGGAAAAAGGCTCGAGGTGGCCAGAGTAAAACATGAAATCGATATATGAAGTGTTTGACTATTGGTTTGAGTAGACTGGGTGGTTGGGGTCCACAGGACAAGAGGAACCAGTGGTTGAAGACTCTAGGTGATATGGCTCAGAAACCGATGTCAGTGTCGCAGATGTATACATACATTATCCTCATGCCCATCTCAGCATTTTCTCATTCTTTCTTTCTCTCTTTTCGTGCTTTATATTTCTTTTGACTGAATTTTCTTTTCTTCATCTTCCACTTCATTGCCTATTTACTTGATGTATTATGGCAACTTGGACCGCTGCGCAGTAATCCCTGTTCCTATATTGATGCTGATGATGACAATTCCTAGAAAGTAATGAAATACTGTTTCAATGTACAATACGACTAACTATCTAGATAACTCAAAGAAGTCCCAAAATCCTTTTTAAAAGGATTTCTATCTTGTATATACATTTTAATGTTGGAATATATTTCCTACTATCTTGTCATCATTGTTTTTCTTTTCTGAAGTTGTTCAATGATAATATTAGAGAGAGGAAAAAAATTTTTATCAGATAATCAATATCATTATCATCAATTATACATACCTAAAATAGGATACATTAATAAAACTTTTCTATGTTCAATATTCGGTGGTAATTTTGCATAATAAACTTTAGCCTCAATAATTTCACTTTCTTCAGCTGTTTGAATTAATATCTTTCCAATACGCATTGAACGACAACAATCACGTAGACCACGTTCCATTGCTTCACCAGATCGCATAATAGATACACCACAATTACCACGTAGAAAACTAGTTCCATTGAATAGATGACCTGAGTACATATTCATTATAAGTCATAAAACAACAACAACAACAAACATAGGCAATATAACACGTATTTATCAGATAGATAGATAGATAGTAAAATATTAACATATAGAACGTTGAATAAAAGTGAATTGATTCAAATTGCCACATACTTTCAAGTATAATCTACACCTCCTTTGATGCCGGACAACAGTTGTATATCACGATCTGAAGGCAGGATTCAACTACGTTAATCGAGAAGTCTTATGGCACATGTCTTTCACTGAAAGGCTTGCCGAGTAAGTACACTAACTTATTGAAGACTCTCTACTTCAACACTAGTCGGCGTGTTAGAGACTATTGTGAGATGTCTGAGGAGCTGTGCTCGTCAAGTGGGGTATCCGTCAAGGGTGCCCATTCTCTCCACTTTTCTTCAAATTTATCACAGATATTCTCATGGAGGTCTCCTTCTCGTCATCTGACTGACTACACAGGGACTGACTTGATCACATGAGAATTCTCGGTAGACATAGAATATCTAAATGACGTAGTCCTGTCAAGTGATAATCCTGATACAATGCAGAATCTTCTGAACACATTGAGTTGCAATTTGAGAATGTTTGGGATACGATTCTCGCTATCCAAGTACAAATTGTTACTACAGGACTGGTTTTCAACGGTAACCTGAAGGACAATAGAGAGTGAAGTGATTAAGCGCTCTGAACAGTTCACTTACCTTGGAAGTGGGATTAGCCCTGGTGCATCGGTCAGTGGTCGATGAAATCTCTTCACGGATACAAAAGACTCGGCTGGCTGGCTGGCTGGCTTTCGCCAACTTACGCCACCTATGGCGCCGCCTTGATATCCGATTGTCCGTTAAGAGTCGCGTGTACTCCATACTAGCGGCCAGACTAAAACATGACATCGATGTATAAAATGTTTGACTGTTGATTTGAGCCATGTGAGGCGATGCAGACTAGTCGGTTGGGGTCGTCGAGACAAGAGGAACCAGTGGTTGGAGACTCTAGGATGATATGGTCCAGAACCGATGTCAGTGGCACAGATGTATACATACATTATCCTCATCTTAACGACGGTAAACCGAATCTCAGGATTTTCTCACTGTGGCTGTGGCAACTCGGAGCGTTGCGCAGTAATGCCTGCTCCTATATTGATTTGGATGGATTGACACCTCCTTCATCATCATCAAGATCAAATATATGGCCAGGCATTCCTGTGTAACAGTCCAACTTGCAACACCACATATCACATCAAGTAACAACACAGTAAAATAGAAGATGAACAGAGAAAGTAAAATCGGTCACAAGAAGTAGAAAGTAGTAAAAGAGAAGAGGGAGAAATGATAAAATGATGAAGATAGTGTACGGCAACATCTTCATCATGTCACCTACAGTCAGTCTCCAAGCACTGGTTCTTGTTGTCCTGTGGGCCCCAACCACCCACTCTGCATCGCACCACATGGCTCAAACCAACAGTCAAACACTCCATACATTGATGTCATGTTTCAGACTGACCGCTCCGAGCATTTTTCTAGCCTGAAACTACTTCAGCCAACATTGTGTCACGAGGCAGATGGCGACTAGGCATACGTAACACATGCCCCAGCCAACCATCTATGTTGATGAAGGTTCACAGCACCATCATAAACTGACCTGCCTCTTCTCTCTAAAACTCCACGCCTGACTTCTGCGTCACTTCCGTGGTGATGCCACGAAATATAGCCTATACTACGAAGGCAACGATAGTCAAACACCTGAAGCTTTTTCATGTTTCCCACCTTCCATAGCCATGTTCCACAACCATACAGTATAACAGCGGACTGCTATGGAGTACACGCGACTCTTAACGGACAATCGGATATCAAGGCGGCGCCATAGGTGGCGTAAGTTGGCGAAAGCCAGCCAGCCGAGTTTTTTGTATCCGTGAAGAGATTTCATCGACCACTGACCGATGCACCAGGGCTAATCCCACTTCCAAGGTAAGTGAACTGTTCAGAGCGCTTAATCACTTCACTCTCTATTGTCCTTCAGGTTACCGTTGAAAACCAGTCCTGTAGTAACAATTTGTACTTGGATAGCGAGAATCGTATCCCAAACATTCTCAAATTGCAACTCAATGTGTTCAGAAGATTCTGCATTGTATCAGGATTATCACTTGACAGGACTACGTCATTTAGATATTCTATGTCTACCGAGAATTCTCATGTGATCAAGTCAGTCCCTGTGTAGTCAGTCAGATGACGAGAAGGAGACCTCCATGAGAATATCTGTGATAAATTTGAAGAAAAGTGGAGAGAATGGACACCCTTGACGGATACCACTCGATGAGCACATCTGTGTAGTCAGTCAAATGATGAGAGAGACCTACATAAGATTACCTCTTCACATATCTAAGATCAATAGTCAGGGACTTCATGCACTGATGCCACATCACCATCTGACCACCCAACTGTATATGTGGGTTTACTTTTAAAATCTAGTACCTTATTTTCATCAAAAATCAGTTCATTTGCAGTAAAATTGTAGAAACAAGGATCGAACCCATAAGATATTAAAAATAAACCAAAATCTCAAAATTTTCAAAATGGCGCCTGTGTCCGGTCTCAAGCAGATCTTACACGGGCTCTGTGATCACGTAAATCGTTTTCTTTTTCAGGTACGTTTAGAAGAAATAGCCTTCTACGGTGTGTGTAGTTGAAAAGTGTCAACCATTCGCACGCTTTCAGTAGAATACACGGCTCAACCAAACCTAAACTATATTCCTCAACTCTGTCTACGCTTTTGCCTTCACCTCCTGATACTAATAGCAAGCTTTTTAAACCTTACGCAACCTCTCTGTTTGGGACCATTACCAACGATCAAAGCCATCAAAACCTCATTCCTAGTCTCCTCGCTTGCTAAAAAATCTGGAATCTCTAGCTACGGATGTATCCTGTGTCTCTGAGACACGTATACTGGACCCGAATGTGGTTATTATAATGACCTCACCTGGCCATGGTAGTTAGTCTTCAAAATCAACCTTCTGAGCATCCGGATACCCAATGGTTAGCTCTCGTAGACTTGCTGGTCTAGCATTGAGTTGTAGAGGAGAAAGTGAGCTCCTCGACTGAGTTCCAGTAAACAGCTGTCTATGGGTTGTTCGACCCAATGGATCTGTAAGGAATAGGAAGGATCGTGAGAGCAACTAATGTCGATTCGTAATCTCCGCCTACGCAGTCACCGACTGCAGTTCGGATGAATTCTGTGAAAAGCTATCAATCTTGCTACAGAAAGCGAAATGTTCAGATGTAGTCATAACGGCAGGTGACTTTAAGGTTCAATTAGGGAAGCTGAACCAATCGGAGAGGCATCTGGGAGATATTTACGGAATCCCATGCCAGCCAACGGACGCGGGTGATCGTCGGTTGTAATTTTGCCCCGAAAATCACTTGTGTCTGGTCAGCACTAACTTTGGGCATAAGCAAAGGTATTGTCTTACATGGCTTCCATCGACATCAAAGCAACGATGGACGCAGATAGATCACATTGCTATAAGCAATCGTTGAAGGCTTGCCGCTCTTTCTAGAGTACCAATTAGCACTCCGATTGTCAGTTAGTACGGGCTCGTGTATGTCTGCATCTTACTGGTCACAGGGAACAATAGGCAGTGAGGACCATCTATGCTCGACTGGTAGGTGATGGCGCCAAGTACTCATTTAGAGAGGAGTTAACTAAGTATTTGTCTGAAAGTGACAGCAATCCTCATCCTCAGAAAACCCGGCGTGGTGTTAAGTCTGCTGCAAAAACAGCGGTAAAGATATACACCCGAAGGTTAGCAAAAGTCATTGAATTTTCGCGACGTCAAGCGAAATGATTGATGTGAGAAGACTGATTCCAGGAGTCGCCGACCACGATGAAGAGCGAAAGTAAATTAAACGTAAGTTGACCAAGAGTATGGGCGTCGATCGCTACCAGTATTGGGTGACGAAAGCGAGAGGGATGGAAAAGGCATCAGCTCTAGGTGACAACCGGAAACTATCCAGGCTTATTAAGGATACCGGCAAGATGATGGTGAGTGAAACCATCACGGAAAAGGATGGGATGCCGATAACCTCCCAGGACAGGCGGACAGAACGTTTAGCAGAACACTATGAAGTACAGTCCAACCTGAACCTGAATGGGGTGTAGATGTCGGCTCCCTAACTCTCCTTGAAGCTGAGACGGCTGAATCGAACCTGAAATTATACAAAGCAGCAGGACTTGATAATTTGTCACCTGAGGTCAAGGATGAAGGTAGGAAGTTGGCAATTACAATGACAGAGATACTAGGTAGTGTGTGGGAATCAGAGGTAGTGCAGTCAGACTTGTGTACTTGATTCATCATCCTAGTCATTAAGAAGGGAGAATAGTCTTCCTATGACAACCATAAAGCGATCAGTTTGGTTAATATTGTGTCTAAGATCCTACTGTCCATTGTTATCCGCGCCAAACTGCAGCTCGAGAACAGCAAACTTGAGAAAACCAGCCAGGTTTCAGATTTGGTGGAAGGTGCATCGATCATATTTTCATCTCCCGACAGGTCTTGGAACACAGGCAAACCTACTGGTCAGTGTCCGATACTTGCCATATTTGTCTATCTGAAGGCAACATTTAGCTCTGTCGACTGTCACGCTTATCAAAGCCACCTTACTCGAAATCATGCAGCCGCGTCAGGGATTATGGAGAGTTGTCGTTCATTCTGATAACAATTAGTGATTTCCGCCAGAGATGTTCACTCTCACCGTTTTTATTAAACTCCGTTATTGATTTACTAATGAACAAAACCTTAGGTACGTTGGGATTCACAGGGATTGACCTACTCCCTGGAGGTCATCTGGTTGACTTGGAGTATGCAGACGATATTCTCCTGGTAGGCAAAGACGCTGACAAAATGCAGGGTCTTGTGAACGTCTTGAGTAGAAATTTGTATATGTTTGGCATGCGTTTCATTTGCACCTGTCAAATGTAAGATGATGCTACAGAACTGGTCTCCAACTATTTCTAGTTTTAATGGGAGAGAGGAAAGTGATGAAATGCATCGATCAATTCACTAACTTAGGGAGTTGGGTCAATTCGAATGAGTTGGTTTCTGACAGAAATCCTAGTTCGGATACAGAAGACCCGTTTGACATTTGCCAACATACGTCACCTGTAGCGTCGGTGAGATACCCGACCAAATATACTGCTCTGCAGTCCATTCTTTTCAGTTATACGACTGAGATATGGCCGTTAAAAGTAGATGACATGAAATGGTTCCAGTATTTCGATCACAGATGTCTTCGTAGTATTGCTCTTGTTTGGTGGAATCACCGAATGAGCCATTTTGAGGTCAGATGAAAGATACTAGGGAAGAAAGCTAAGTCAATTGAGAAGGTTGTGAAACTTAGTCAACTGAGATGACTTAGACCATACACTGGGCATGCCGAGTCACCACCAACCTCGACAAAGATGGATTAGATTGGAAGTGCGTTCAGATGGCAAGAGCAAGACGCGATATTAGTTGATGAGATCTCTGACTGATGGTATGAGCTATGCGGGATGCAGACTACTTGGTTGGGGTCCCCGAGATGAGAGAAATCAGTGGTTGAGTACTCTTGGTGAATTGGCTGAAAATGGCGTAGATGTATTCACTCATTGACATATTCCAAACCTTGAATATTTACACTAACCTTAATCTTCAAACTGTTCATCCTCTCACACAACTTTGTCTACTGTGACAGCACTCCTTTTTTCTCCACCTATTTTATGCATACTATGAAGTGACAACCTGAGCCGATGCACCTGTGTGCGAGGTTCTACGTTGATTTTGTCAGCCAGTTAGTCAGTATAATCTATACATGCGTCCAAAAACACTTCATACTTTTTCAGTTTATTTTATTATTATTTATTTGTCCCTTGGGTTCCTAGGACTTCAGCAGCACTCTGTTCTCTGCAGTCTTCTTTCTTAGCCTGGCTCCACGACTACCCAGAAGCTTTCATTTCTTCCTCATACCATCTCCTTCATATCACCCTAGGACGCCCAACCCATCGTTTCCCATTCGGGTTCCACTCTAGGGCCTGGCGTATAATGTCCCCAATCGGTCTTCTCAGTATAAGCCCAATCAATCTCCACCTTCTTCTGCATATCTTTTGGGCGATAGGTTCTCTGCTGGTTGGTTCGTTGACAGAGTGAGTTCCTTCTTGGTTATTCTCATAATTCTGATAATCTGATCTGATCTTCAGTATCAGGTGAGCGTAGGTGGCAGTTGATGATGAATGTCTGTAGTTTGTTGGAAATACTTTTCGTAACGCGCCAAGTCTCTCAACCATCACATAGAAGCACTGACTTGACTGGCATTAGTGTTGAGAATCCGGATGTTGTTCACGCTTTATGCTGAGTGCACTAGATCTCCACAATGATTTCAGGTTAATGAAGGCCTGTCTTGTTTTTCCTATCCTGGCTTTGATGTCCTTATCTGTGCCGCCTGTAGTCGAAACGATGTTGCCTAGGTAAGTGTAGGTGAAAGAGACAACTTCCATTAGGTGGTGATTGGTGCTCGTTGTTAATGTGGTTGTTGTTGGTTGGGTATCTTCATCACCTCCGTCTTCTCTACGTTCGCTTGAAGTCCTGTCTTCGCTGACCTGCCTTGCCTCTTCTGTCAACTTGCTGGTTTTCGCCTGTAGATCTTCGATTTTGTGCGACACTAGACATTAGACATAAATCATCGTTGGCGAAATCCAAATCTTCTACGGTATTTGTCTTTTTATCGGTCTTCTCGCTCCTCACAGTTTGTTGCACGAACCAGTCTAGCGCAGTTGACCACCATCAGGAAGATCATCGGTGATAGTAGGCGGCAATCTTGTCTTGCTACTTCCTGTCTTCACTTCAAAAGTGTCACTGAGCCTTCCATTGTGAATCACTTGGCACGTAGTCTTATCATATAGCACATATAGCTGTTGAATGAGGTTGATAAAGGTTTGTGGCACTGAAACCATAGTGTTGCAGCAAATACCAAATTACTTCTCGGTCGACGCTGTCGAAGGCCTTTTCAAAATCGACGAAGATGAAGTAAAGATACAGTTGACTGTTATTCTGTGTTCTATTATATGATGATCGGTAGCGTAGCGTTGCAATTTGATCCGAACATGATTTGTTCTTTCTGAGTCCAGCCAGCCTGTTCCGGTCGTAATTTTGAATGCAGAGTATGTTTTTTAGTCTCTCCAGGATGATGTGGCTTAACATTTTGCTAGGGGTGGATAGGAGCGTGGTTCCGCGCCAGTTCTTGCAAAGACTTATGTCGCCCTCGTTTGGGAGTTTGACAAGGTAGCTCTTCTTCGGATCTGCAGGCACCTTTCTTTCCTTCCTTCCAAACCTTCTACTATAGTGGTATCAGCATGCCCACTGATGTCTCTGCGTCTGTTTTCAGTGAATCTGGAGAAATTCCATCTGGTCCCGCTGCGTTCCCGGATTTCAGCAACTTTATGGCGTTCAGGACTTCACTTCTGCCTTTGTCGTAGGGCTTGTGTTCACTGGTAGTTTTGTGGCTGAGCTTCTGGTGGTATTTCTGAACAAGTTGCGTGTGGTGGTCGATTCAAGAGTCTTTTGAAATGGTCAGCCCATCATTTCCTTTCTTTCTCTTCTTTGGTGCTAAGTTTCCTTCTTTATCTTTCATTGGTTTCATCTGCGTTGATCTCTTCACAGAACGACAGTAACCTGGTTATTTGATATGTTGTCAGGTCTCTGTCTCTCCTACCTGCAGCCTGTTCTGCTTCACTTGCAAGTGTGTTGTAGTAGTGTCTTTTGTCTTCCCGTGCACTCTTCTTCACTTCTTCGTCCAATGTAGTGCTTTATAGGCTGTGTTCAGTTCCCCTTTTCGTTGTTGATCCCTGCACTGCATTGCACTGGTTCATCCTCTGTTTCACCATCCTCTTCTCCCTCCTCTATTAGCTTCCATGTGTCCTTCGAGGTCCATTCCTTGTCCTGTTTTTCCTTCCTTCCTAATACAAGTATGCAGGTTTCCTTCCACATCTCTTTCAAAGAGTCCCAGTGTTCTTCCATACAGGTTTCTTCAGGTTTGTCGCTTAATATCTCCCATTTTTTCCTGATGGCTGACGCGAAGATTTTCTTTGTAGTTTCGTCCTTCAGTTTATGTTCTGGATGTTGAACTTGAACTGTGGTTTATTACCAACTTCCTTGAAGGTTTTCAACTTGATTTGGAAGGTTCTTTGCACTGGATAGTAAGTTGTGTGAACCTACATCTGCTCCCTTCTTGATCTTGTGTCAAGTAGGCTGCATCTCCACTTTTTTCACATTGAGATGAAGTCGATCTGATTTTCAGTGTGTTCTAGTGTCTGGTGAAATCGAATCTATGTCACTTTATGAATATCCTTGTATTTGTACACACTGCCTCCAAACACCAGATCATTAAATGCGCAGAAGCCTGCAAACAGTTCTCTATTCTCATTCATTTCACCGAGTACTTCTTGACCCATGATGAGTCCTCTTCCTGTGTTGTCCCCTTCCACTTTGGCATTCATGTCACCCACCCATTCGAATTTTCATGTCGCCAACTGGAGTCTTGTCCAGTGTTGATTACAGTTGTCTGTAGGGCTCCTCCTTCTCTTGATCTGCATTATTTGTAGGTGTATAGCGTAGCAGTGAATGATTGTGACTTTTCTTCCTTTTGAGTTGAATCTTACTGTCATGATCCTGATGGTGGAGGAGATTGGTTCCCACTGCATGAGAGCCTTCAATGTTCTTGGAGACATCATGATAGCCACTTGAAAACTCAGTGTGCTTGTGGTTTTCGTCTGGGTGATCTAATCAATATGACTGACAAATTTTAGCGATTATGCTACAAACCATATCAAAAAGTGAACGGAAGAATATCTGTATAAAGAAACTCTAAGGATTTGAAAGGTGTGTAAGACTTTTAGGCTACTGTGTTCGTATGCCTTTGTCGTGAAGGAGATAATACAACAGCGTTAGAAATTTAGTATACATCTCTATGTCAGAATTTACAACAAGCTGACTTCTCTTCAACTAAGAGTTGTAGCTCACTGTTTGAAAGCCAACTTTTTAAAAGAATAACTCACCGGTTTAAATCCTACCCTTCCACTTACCGATGTTTGAGCAGTTAGATAGTATCACTAGCCATTACACAATAGGTCCCCAATGCATGAATACCTACAAGGTTGCTGAGTGCGATTCATCAACTAACAGAAGATCAGTCTACAGATTTAAAAACTGTCAATGTCGAGGTTAGACGAAGGGTAATAAACAAGAAAGAAAATTCACTTGATGAGATTGTAAACTTTCACCGATTAAAATGGCTTGGACATGTGTTATGCATACCATCCTACCGACTACCTTATGGTGGCAATGTTAACCAAAGTAAGAATGGGTCAGAAAAAGGTTCACGGTGGCTAGATCAAGACTTTACAATAAAAATTGATCATAGAAAGATACACACTACTCTTGAAAATTATAATACCTTCTGGTTACCATCTATACATTACAGATTACTATACCTGTAGGTGTTGTGACGCATACATTTTCATACGGAAGTTGATTTAAGCCTTCTTCAACAATTAAACGAATCTAAACAAAATAAGAAAGTAGAAAGTTTATTTGAAACATACCAGACGATCTGCATTAAACAAGAATTCATTTCTTGTAGTGTCTCTACAAATAAAACAATAACCAATGTGTAAAAACATACCTATTACGTATAACTGTTTGCAGCACTCTTACATGATCAGATTGTGGAAGTAAGACAATGTGCTTCGAGAATTTAGATAGTACAGAATCCACTTCAGAGTTATTCAATGATGATTGAAGTTCTTTTAATGGTAAATCTAAAGTTTCATTTTCATCATCAACCTTTGAAGGAGATCGAACCTTTGAGAATGATTAGCTTTTGTTTGAGTAAAAACACTTACTGTAATATAACTGTGAGGCATATGATCAGTGTGGAGTTAAGGGAAGAGGTAAACAGCTACTATATTGTAACGATACTACCAGATTATTTGGTGCCAGTAACGTCTATTAACTAAATACAAGAAACATCACATTATTGCCCGTGCAAAATGAGATTAATAACTTAAACAGTCGTATTATTGATGCTGGGTGAAAGTTGAAGGTGAAATGGGATTCTGGAACATGGAAGAATTCGAAACATTGGCCTCCGGGTAGTAGAGCACCGGGTCGGTAACTCGGAGAATGCTGGTTTCGTCTTTACAACCGGTGCTAACATTTTGGGCGAGATTTCCTGTAAGCACGACCTCAGAGAACAGAGAAGAAACATCCTTCAAGAGAAGTTTGCTAAGATTTCAAAACCTTGAGCATCAGAAGGCGAAGAAATAAGTGATTGCGTAGTCAAATTGTCCAAACAACCTCCGATCAAATCCGACAAACTTCTCCTTCAGAAAGAACTAAATAACAATACGAGGAACGCTTTAAGACCAGAATTCTTCGCATCCCTAGCGTTATCACTGAAGACTTCAGGGTTAAACTCTGAGGAAATAAGACAAGTAATCATACTTTTGATCAGGTGGAAGCAAAACCGTACTCATTATCACCATCATCATCAATATCAACATACAACCAGGCATTACTGCACAACGGTTCGAGTTGCTAGAGTACGAAAAGAGACAAAGGAAGAATGAGGAAATGGTAAGATTCGGTAAAGCGTCGTTAAGATGAGGATAATGTACGTATACATCTGTGACACTGACAGGTTCCTGAGCCATATCACCTACAGTCAGTCTCCAAGCACTGGTTTTTGTTGTCCTGTGGGCCCCAACCACCCACTCTGCATCGCACCACATGGCTCAAACCAACAGTCAAACACTCCATACATTGATGTCATGTTTTAGTGTGGCCACCTCGAGCATTTTCCCAGCCTGGACCTACTTCAGCCAACATTGTGTCACAAGGCGGATGGCGACTAGGCATACGTAACACGTGTCCCAGCCAACCATCTATGTTGATGAAGGTTCACAACCACATTAACTGATCTACCTCTCCTCCCTAGAACTCCACGCCTGACTTCTGCCTTACGTGGTGACACCACTGAATATGGCCTATACTATGAAGGCAACGGTGGTCAAACACTTGAAACCTTCTCATGTCTTCCACCTTGAATGGTCATGTTTCACAGCCATGCAGTATAACAGTGGACTGCTATGCAGTACATGTGACCCTTAACAGACAATCGGATATCACGGAGGCGCCATAGGTGGCGTAAGTTGGCGAAAGCCAGCCAAGTCTTTTGTATCGGTGCAGAGATTTCATTGTCCTCTGAGCCACCAGGGCTGATCCTACTCTCCAGGTAAGTGAAGTGGTCGACACAATCACTACAATCTTTATTGTTAGCCGTAGCACCGTTAAAGACCAATCCTGAAGCAACAGTAATGATCTCAAAGTATGAATACAACCCGGAAAATGCAAACACCTTTGAAAATGTGATACACAATACGCCTGAAAAGGATGTCTGGCTGAGCAATCGTTGGTGTAACAGTGAATAGATTTGTCAACAGTTACTTGGCTGTCCAGGTGAATGAGTCGATTAAAATTAGGGAAGGTCGTAAAAGTCGTTGATATCTATTTCTGGTAACCACTGATGTATCCACCGACTGAAGTACGGATAAAAGAAGAGATAAGTGCTGATGAAAATCATTTCATATATGATCACAATGCTTAAGCAAGAAGGTTGAAACAATCGGAAAGATATCACAGGTATGGCTACAGAATTCGATGTCTAAGGATTGACAATATTGATCATCTCTCATGATTTTGTCTCAATAATCAGTTATTCCTAAGCCAGAATTTACTTCAAACTTGGGGAAAAAAGCTATCGCAGTTGATATCGTCTGACATGGCACGAATTATGAAAACATAGATTATTATTTGTCCCCTGGGTTCCTAGTGGAACATAAGGCTTCAGTAGCACGTCTCCATTACACTCTGTTCTATACGATCCTTTCAACCTGGCTCCACGACAGCCCAGAAGCTCTTATTTCTTCCTCACACCATCTCCTCCATATCACTCTCGCCTCGAACGCCCAACTCATCATCTCCTATCTGGGTTCCACTCGACGACCTGGCCTGGTGCGTGATGTCTCCAAATGGTCTTCTCGGTGCATGCCTAACCCATCTCCACTTCCTTCTGCATATTTGTTGGGTGATAGGTTCTTGGTTGGTTCGTTCCCAGCCAGCCAGAGTTTCTTATTGCTTATTCTTGATGGCTATCTGGGCTTCAGTAACGAGTGAGCGTAGGTGGCAGTTGTTGATGAATGTCTGTAGTTTGTTCGAAAACATAGATTACATTGCTATAAACCATAGCTGTAGAGCTTTGGTGAAGGACTATAATTCATTTCTAAGTATCTGTTCGGCCTCCAGGTACGCACTTTTCTTCTAGCATATGTGACTGAATGGAAGTCGAAAAAGCATCTTTAGAGCTTTCTTGATCTAGGCTCGAAGATGAAGACTCTAAACCTAAGGTTTTAACCTAAGTGAGCCATGATCCTCATGATAACGAAACGAAAAGTACTCAACTACCTCGTGCAAATCTGTGAAGTAGGTAGTGAGTGACATCGATTGTGTAAGGACCAGTGATACTAAATAGTTGCCTAAACCTCAGTTGATAGTCATTTACCTAAACCACTAAGCCACAACTCCTCACGATAAAGTCCGAGACAATACTACCTGCGATAGAAATAATGGTAAGAGTATTTAGAAACTTACAAATGAAGGTTAGTAACAGCCAGTGCGTCTCTACAACCTCATCTAAACTGACTGGCGAGAGATGCTTTATAGTTGATTCTGATCATAGTGGGAAATGATATCAGATTCAAAGAAGACAAATTAATTCTTTGTAACTAACATGAGCATGGTGGATAGAGGAGATAAAAGATGCAGATGGCATCAATGTTAGGCAATTTTAGACAGTTAATTAAATTTATTAGAGCGACTGGCTTCAAAAGGATTATGGTAAATGAAATCATCACCGAGGAGGATGGATCCCCGCTAAACTTTCAGAATAGGAGATTCGGACAATATAAGGAGTAAGATTGACGGCCCACATCTCCGTTAGAGTTGCTAATCACTCATTATAGTACAAAATAGGGATTAAATGAAGAAAGTTGCTTCAAATCCAACGGCAGTAAAGTAGTAGAACCTGACTGTTTGTCCCTACAGCTGGAGTAATCGATTAGAAACACTGAAGCATGAGCTAGTATACAGAAACTATAGTCATCTATCCAACGGGTCTTTATTGTTAATCATTCTAGTTCACAGGAAAGGAAAGATATCCTTCTGTAATAACTATAGTGCAATCAGCTTCGATAATAATGCATCCTAGATAACACGACCGACAGTGATTCAACACCTATTTGGAGCTTAAAAACAAGCTCCAGAGAAAACAAGCTTTATTGTTGTATAAGGATGTATCGTCCTGATTCTCACTCTTTAAAAGGTCCTGGAACACAAACATATCTGTCAACGCTTGCCACATTTTTTAACCTGGTAACCGTATTAGACTCTAACACCTGATGTGTGGTTGTGAAGGGAGTATGGTGCATGCGTATCGAGCTAATAACGGTTCTCTACCCAAGATAACACAAGGTATGTGGAGGCTTATCATACGACGAGGTGAAAACTAGCACTGTACACCACGGTTGGGTGTTATCGCTTTTTGTCTTTTTTTAATAGATAGAGATGATTGCTTATCACCGACTTTCCACAGGTTGATTTACTGTCGAATGAGCATCTAATTGGCTCAAAATACGCAGAAAAAGTAGTGCTGATAAGTGAAGACACTGACAAAAGCACGTTCTTGTGAAAGCTTTGATGGGAAATTTGTGTTTTACATGTATTTTGTGTCTGCCAAATATAATCTGATGTAGAACTAACCTGTGTTTAATTTATGGATGATAAAGAAACTGGTGAAATAGATTGACTACTCCGCTTTTTTGCTACTCTGCAGTGAGGCTAATGGAGTCGTTCCTAACAAAATACGAGTTTTACTTAGTGTGCCAGCTTATACCGTCATTGGGATTGACTGGGTGTCAAAGTACCTATTAAATGATTACACCGCCCAGAGGTTCATTCTATTTCGCCTTCATGTTTTTGATCATAGGTGTCTTTGCAAAACGGCTCGTGTACGGTGGAGCCAGTTAGTAAATAATGCTTCAGTTATGTAAAGTGCTATTTAAAGCACCAATAGGGTTATGACACTTTGATGGCTGCAATATCTACCATGCTAGCAGGACTACTGCTCACCTCAGCACAATGTTAAATGAAGCAGGATTATTCTGAAGAAAAAAGGTTAGAGTGGCTGAGGCAAAACATATCACCTTTCTATCAATTCTGTGACTAATGCGCTTGGCTGTGTAGCAAACTGAACTGGTTTGATTCGGAACCTAGAGATCTATAGCTGAATATCCTTGATGACATGATTAACAACCAATTACAGTGCCTTTGATATGTAAACCCTTTATTAACTGTTATGCTGAACGAAGAAAGAAAGACGGAAATCTCAGATAAGTGTGGCTGACGTTTTAATTTTATTTATTCCAAAATAAACCTTAATGAAGATTAATTTTATACTATTATTGAGTAGCTCAGTTTAGTAGCTCTTCAGGGACTCCTTACATATTTTCGTATGAATTATGAGTCCGGAATAACTGACTATTTAACGTTTAGTTGTTTTTTATTTCCATATACCTTCGTTTCTTGTAACATCACTCGTTTATTACCCTTTTTTAGTGCTATCGTGCATTATAACTTGAACCAACCTACTTTAGTACATGGGTGTACGTTAATCCATTTGTCACATATGAAGAATATTGAAGCCAAACACCGTTGGAAGGGACTGGTAAATGTATCCGTTTTTGCAACAACTTCTTAGAATGCCATCTGCTGGTAACAGTAAAGGCAGGACAGATAGATTCAAGTAAAA